GTTTATCCATGAACTGAAATTAACCTTTGAGGTTTTATAAAAGTCAAGGCAGGATCTAAAAATTAACTGTTTCAGCTGAAACCTGGTCTTTATCTTTGGTACTGCTATAAAGACTGTAAGATTGAAGCCCCTGTGGGGCTTCAGCTTGAGCTGTGACACAAGAGCGTCTCCTGATCGGAAAGCCTGTCCCCTGTATCCTTTAAGGATGATGATATTGTCACCCACCTTAAATCCTCTTGAGTCACACACCAGGTGAGAAGCAGGAATCAGGCAGATAGAGGTGAAAACGTCAGCTTGATTGTTCTTAAGAGCTATATGAGAGAGGCAGCTCAGCACTCACCATTGTGGGAAGGGGGGCTCCCTAATACCTAACACCCTCTGAATGCAAGCTGTCCCCACTGCCACCCAGGGGCAGAACTTTCAACAGACTTCTTTAAAAAAAAATTTTTTTTTTTAATGTTTTATTTATTTCTGAGAGAGCATGAACAGGGGAAGGTCAGAGAGAGAGGGAGACAAAGAATCTGAAACAGGGTCCAGGCTCTGAGCTGTCAGCACAGAGCCCAACGTGGGGCTCGAACCCATGAACTGGAGATCATGACCTGAGCCAAAGTCGGACACTTAACTGACTGAGCCACCCAGGCACCCTGTCAACAGGCTTCTTTAGGAAAATATGCCACCAAACTGAGGCATCCAGCAATCAGGGTGATCTGCTGAGCTCTTAAAATACAAGTGTGTCCATTTTTGATCACAGATTTCAGCTGAAAGTTAAGCATTCTGACGACAGCCAGTTGGGGGGATCCTGAATGGGCTCTCACGCATGCTCAGACAAGGGAGGCCCCGAGAGGGGCCAAGCTGTTCTCCCAGCTTCAGAAAGGTCCCTCAGGAATGGAGGTGGAGAAGAAAGATGGGTGCCCTGCAGGCATTCGGGAGGCCTGCTGCTGAGTTGCCCCAGCTGGACTGGGGTTGGAAGTCAGAGTCCAGGGACACTTGAAATGGCCCGATCAGAAAAGTCACCCATTGTCTTGGAAGGGGATGGTGTATGTTGCAGATTCTTCACGTGACAAAGACCAGACCCCTCACAAAGCTGCCTTTTCCCTGAGACGTGACAGATGTGACAGACTTCTGATGGAGGTGCTAGAGGAAATGATCTTGGACAAGAGATCTGATGCCGGAGCCTGGCTTGGAGAGGCAAGAATTCCTCCCTTCAGGGGGCAGTGGGGGCTAGCTGGATGGAGTTTATCTGTGCAGAACAGAGTAGGCCGGACACCAGTGGGGCTCCCCAGTGTTTGGGAGCAGGGAACACCCCAGGACCTTTTTGTGTCCCTGAGGGAATAAGGACATCCAGTGACAATGGGAGAAGAATTTCCTAACCGTTCAATAAAAGGGGGCATTGAAATTAATCTTAATAATGTCACCGTAAAGGACTGAAGCATTTTCCTGCCTGAGTTTTGTGGAGTGAGGTGCATGCCTGATATTCCTAGGAGGTGAAGGAACCAAGCTCTGTATCGATGTGCTGTCTTCTTTGGCCAAATCTGTAATGGAGACTGTAACAGTAAGTATTTCCTATCTCCTCCCTCCCCCACTCCCCCCCTCCCCCCGCCGACTCAAGGCAGGCAGCTTTTTTTTTTTTTTTTTTTAATGAAAACGGTCGGGTTTATGAATAAAGTCAAGTTTTATAAATCTTTGGAGCCTGTGTGCTCTAGCGGTACAAACATGGTTAAGGGCTGTGCTTCCTGGAGAGCTCCCACACTTCTTGTGAAACCTAGAGTTCTGTTAAGCCCGCCGCAAGTTTGGTTCTCTGCCAATTCCACTCTCTTCTCTTTAATGGGACTACATCTTGGGGCTTTTGTCCTTAAGATCCTCTTTGGAGGCTTTGTGAGTGAGACCAGCCACTTCCCAGGGAGGTTGGGATTTTCTCTCTTCCCCTGGGGTGAGCCACCATATGGCTTTCGCCAGAGCAAGATGCATCTTTCCTTTATCAGTGGCCCTTAACATGGTGCTCTTTTACCCACCTCAGGGGGACTTTTGGTAATGTCTGGACACATTTTTGGTTGGCACGATTGTGTGTGTTACTACCACCTAGTCCCTGGAGGCCTGGGGGTTGCTAATCATCCTACAGTGTGAAAGGACAGTCCCCCACAACAGAGAATTATCTGACCTAAAGTGTCCATCATGCGGAGGCTGAGAAACGGTTTCAATCAAGCCTTTTCTATGGCATCTCTCACCGTCTCTGCATCTCAGCCATAAACCACGATGTGAATGGCGCTTCCAAGAACTGTACAGTGCACAGCCTGCACAACCATACGGGGCAGCCCTGCAAATCCACAGGGAAAGATGGGCACAGGTATGCTTCGGGGGTAAGCCTGGCACCGTGCTTCACGGAAGGAAGGAGAATGGATGTGAGAGAAGGACACACACACACGCACACACACGCACACACACAGGCAGAGCAGCAGGACAGAGTCCAGAGTCGTGGTAGAATTCCATTCCCTGGTACTTACCATCTGGAGGCCTGGCTCTTCCCCTGCCCTTCCACTAGTTTGCTTCCATGATCAAGTTTCCTGTTTATCGTATCAGCCCAGTTAAGCTCCGTGTCTGTCACCTACAACCCACAGCATCCTGGCTAAAAGGCCGAGTCTTTTCTAAGCTTCCAACATGCCCACTTACGATTAGCGTTATTCCATTACGAACCCACCCCTTGTATGAGGCCCAGTGGATATTGCCTTCTTTAGGAAGACTTGCCTGCTTGTGATGCCGGCCTAGCTGACGGAGGAGTCGGTAATCAAGGTGACACACTGAACTCTAATCAGCCTTTGTTCACAGCTTTCAGACAATAATCCATTCTCAGAAGCTCAGCCTTATTTGTCAATCTGCATGCCTGTCTGCTGACATTAAAACTAAAGCAGCAGGCACACTTCTGCCGGTGTGAGAAGTAGTGTGTGTGTGTGTGTGTGTGTGCACATGTGTGAAGTGGGCCTTTTTGATTGGAGGAGACGTGCTTTTCCTGAAGGTCTAGGAAAATAGCCGAGGTTGTCCAATGGCCTTGGCCAAGAAAACCCATGAAAACCAGGGGAGCCCGCTGCTGCCAGAAGATGCAGAAACAGAGAATGAGGGAACAGAAGAGGAGGATGGACAGCGGTTATAGTTGCTCTCGTATAGCCGATGATTAGGGCAACAGAGGAGATGGAATACTTTACAGGGAAATTGTAACTTTCATAAGTAACTGAGCATTCGAGGCAAATATTTCACTTCAGTTCATTGTCTTTCACCATCCTTGCTGACCATCTCGCACCTTCACTCTTAGGCACCTTGGAGTTTTCTAGTAAGGTCATCAGACATTGCTGGCTCATTGCCTGGGCCTTCGGAGATAAAAAACACAACACCTCTGTGATCTCATCATAGGTATGATGTTGGTTGATGGTTCAAGACAGATTTTTTTTAAATTTGAAAGTTTGTCATCCTACTTCTGGTATATTAAAGGAGTTTTAATAATCAGGAGAGTGGATGGCTATGACCACTGTCATCTAGCCTAGGAGGAGCCAAGAATTGCCCTGAGCACGTTCCATACTTCATTTCAGTCATCATGAACTCAAGTGACGTGTACAACTAAGTCATCTGACATGTTCAAGGTTGAGCAGGATGCTTTGGGTGGCGTGGAGATGGGCCACTGCTCGTGCCATTTTAAGACCGAGGAATCTGGGGTTTGGAGAGTTTCTGTAAATTGCTGGAGCCAAGTTGGTGGAGCCACAGTTTGCGAACAGCTCAGACTTGACTGCAGTCTGTGCTGTTTATTACCCGGGGGCCAGGGAGGACATGTTAGTACATTTCCTAATTGTAAACCAGACTTGGTGTAAGTCCTCTTTGTTCTACAAATAGATGGATTGTTCTTCTTTTTTTTTAATGTTTATTTTTGAGAGAGAGAGGAGGAGGGGAAAAGCGATGGAGGGAAGGAGGGAGAGAGAGAGAGTGTGTCCCAAGCAGACTCCATGCTGTCAGTGCAGAGCCCAACTTGGAGCTTGAACTCACAAACTGTGAGATCATGACCTGAGCTGAAATCAAGTGTCAGGTGCTTAACCGACTGAGCCACCCGGGCACCCCATTGGTGGATTGTTTTTTTAGACCCCAGGTGGGCAAGCTGTGGCCCACTGCTCATATCTGGCCTGCTGCCTTTTTTTGTAAATAAAGTTTTATTGAAACACAGCCACCCTTACTCATTCGCTGCCTGGCTGTTCTCTGCTACTGGGGTGGCAGTGATGAGTAGTTGTGACAGAGACTGTATGTGTGGTAAAGCCTAAAAGATTTACTCTCTGGCCCTTTCCAGGAAAAGTCTGCCAGCCCCTGTTTTCAGCTCTAAGCTTCATGAAGACAGAGGCTGTGCCTTTTTCTCTCTTTGATCCCACCTCCCACACCACCAAGCCCAGAGACAGAATCCAGTGCGGAAAAATCCTTAGCAAATTGACACTGAGGTCTGTTGAATAAATGTGTAACCCGTATAGTGGCCGGGTGATCTCTGCTCCCACTTCAATAAATATTATGCACCAAGGAAGTGGCAGCACAAGGCATTGAGCCAGCTCCATCTGACTCTTGCTTCTGTGACCCCAACACCCAAGGACACATGGGACTAAGTCGTGTTGCGTGGTGAGCAGGATGCTGTGAGCTGTGCGGTGACCAGACGCTGCTCGTGCTTGCCCCCTTTACTGAAGTTTATTCCAGCGGCCGGCAGGTTAGGTAGCCAGGGGCGACTGCCCGGAGTGAGACTAAGGACAGCTGTGAGGAAGCCACAAAGAGGCACAAGAAGGAGGAGGGGGAGGAGACGGGGGCGGGGGGGGGTCTCATGTTCAAGCATGTCTTCAGGTGTCACAGGCTCCCCGGTGACTAGTGTCCTTGTGGGGGGGCCCTCACGGGAGTAGAGGCACGGCAGCTGCAGCCTCCGGACCCCCTCGGGCAGGGGCGGCCCCAGCTGTGGTGTCGTCCCCTCCTCCGGCCATCGCTGTTTCTCTTCAGCGTTTGGCCTCATTGAGATTCGCCCCCAAGAGCAGGAAGTTCTGGAGAGGAGGCAAACAGGACGCACAAGAAAGATCACTTTCCGAGCTGCATGGGACAGGAGCTTCCCGAAAGGGAGACCTTCGCTGGGGGCAGAGGCACGTTCTCATTGAACCAAAAACCAGGTCAGTGCAAAGGCCACGTCTTTAGGTCTTGGAGGTTTTTAGAAAACACTGTCCCTCTCAGCTGCCTGCCGCCGGGGAATTCATTTGCCTTTCCCGATCTGCTGAGTTCTAGAAGACACGCATGAATGTCACTGGCCTCCTCCAAACGTTTTTTTTTCTCCCAGGAGAACAGTGTGTATCCGGGTGCTGCCTCAGCTTACTCCCCCACATAACTGATTTATAAGGACGTAGTCCGGAATTACCTTGGAATAGGAACATGCTATGAACACTGAAGACATGGGTACCTCTGGGGGCGCCTGGGTGGCTCAGTCGGTTAACCGTCCGACTTCGGCTCAGGTCATGATCTCACGGTTCGTGGGCTCGAGCCCCACGTTGGGCTCTGTGCTGACAGCTCAGAGCCTGGAGCCTGCTTTGGATTCTGTGTCTCCCTCTCTCTCTGCCCCTCCCCTGTTTGTGCTCTGTGTCTCTCAAAAATAAATATTAAAAAAGGAAAAAAAAAGACATGGGTACCTCTGGAGTTAGAAACTGTCACTGTCCCTATTCTTGCGCCTGCCGTGTTTCTTGCACAGAAAGGCCTGGTCGGTGTTTGTCATTGAGCCTCCCTTGCTGCTGCGGGAGCCCAGGCCCACAGCACCCAGGGGCGACTCTCATACCACCAACGAGGTTCCAGCTCATCACCCCGGAAGTGGTGCGGTCTCTTCTGAGCCCTGTGCACACACTCCTCCTGCTGTAACTGGCTGCTGGGCCTTCTGCACGTTGATGCTCAGTTAAGGTGTTTGAACTGAATTACTAGGAACTGAGCTTTTCTGCACGAAGCCAAGATTCTACACAACCCAAACTTGCCGTCTGCACTCCAAACATTTTTTTTTTTAACATTTATTTTGAGAGACAGAGACAGAGCTTGAGTGGGAGAGGTGCAGAGAGAGAGAGGGAGACACAGAATCTGAAACAGGCTCCAGGCTCTGAGGTGTCAGCACAGAGCCCGATGCGGAGCTCGAACTCACAGACCGTGAGATCATGACCTGAGCCAAAGTCGGACGGTTAACCGACTGAGCCACCCAGGCGCCCCTGCACTCCAAAATTTAAAACAAAAATATTTGTTCCTATAAACATTAGGGCCAGGATGTAAGTGGGAGTCAGAGGCTCCCCCTAATATCTACCGGCCCCGAAGCATCCCTCCCAGGAGGCTTTAGAGGTCCCATCCAGACCCCACTCACCTTGTGGACTTGGAGCTCCAAACTGTTAAGGTAGGTATCCCTTGGCAGCGGCAGAGGGAAGCCCTCCTTGAGCTTTGCTGGAAGATAAACGGCAGAGAGACACGGGCTGAATGGGGAAGGCTGAGGACGTGTGGGAACCCAGCTCACTGCTGGCCGGCCACAGGGCGGGCCGCTTTGCAGTGCGGGAGGCTGCTGGATTCGGGCCGGTTTCTTGTTGGTGGGGGGGTAGGGGGGTGTAGGTGCAAATGCCTGGTAAAGGCAACTTCTTCAGGAGGGGACAGATGTGGACAGCCTCCAGCAGCCAGAGTGGCCCGGGCTGGGCTCATAACCAGGGACTCGTCCCCGAGGACCAACGTCTCCTCCACTTTCTCTTTCCCAGGACGGCGTCCCTGCTCTTACCTTGTGGTGGTAAAAGGCAGACGGCGAGGCCAGTTGGAGAAGGCCCTGGCAAAGATGGAGGCCTTCTGGGCTCTCCAGCCGCCGCTGTGCCAAGCACTGCTTCTGCCAAAGTCACCTCGCAAGTCAGTGACCTAACCTGGCCCCCGACCCAGGGGTGCTACCTCTGGGTGTTCTCCAGGCGCTGCTTGGAATGCCCCTCCTCCCTCGGCCTGACTCCCAGGGCTTTGGGACTCAACCTGAGCCTCACCTCCTGCAAGTCTGGACCGACCTCTAAGTCATGTTCAGTGCCTCCTCCTAGCTCCCGCAGCGTGGCATTTATCACCCTGGCTGGCACTGCCCGCTACATACCTGCTTCCCCAACAAAGCATGAGCTCCGAGAGGGCGGGGTCCTGGATAGCCAGGACCCCAGTCAGCGCAGAAGAGGGGTTCAGCTTAAGTGACTGGCTGACTGATCCATGAACCCTGCGTCTACACGGGACAGTCAGCAGCAGCTAAGCTTACCGTTGAGAGAGGGGTATAGGGTGTGCCGCGCGTAGTAATTGAGGATGGCTTCCATCAGCTCCACCTGGAGTGAGGGGGTCGCAGAGCAAAGGGAACAAACCAGACACGGATGACGATGAGTCCGAGGGAAGAGCGTCTGTCTGGCACCCCCTCCAGAAATGCCGACATGCCATCCCACTTACGAAACAGGTTGACTGTGACCGTCACCACTACAGATAAACAGCTCCTTAGTCATGATCTCCTAAACTCCACTCTCTGAACTTCATTCTCACCAGGACATACAAGCCCGTTGATGGCAAAACATGACCTGAACTGTCCTGAGGATATTTAGTGGTTCTTATTTCACTTGGTGCAAATATTTTTAAAATTTTGTCGCAGAAGTTTTAATGTGTTTGGTGGTAGAGCGCTGCCCCAGATCCTCCTGGAAGAGTTATCTAACATATGGTACATGCCTCAGATTACCTCTAAAAAATTTCCAATCCCAAAACCCATCAGTCCAAAGAGTCTTGGGTAAGGCATTGTGCACCGGGGCCACTGTTATTAAAACAGTGAACATACACCTAGAACTTACTATGTGTGAGACATTTTGTCAAAGTGTCTTACTAAATTCATTGCTCCATTTCATGTTATAGCTCCCATTTGAACTAGATAGAGTAGATATTAGCGTTCCCATTTTACAGTCAAGGAAACTGAGGCCCAGAAAGGTTAAGTTATTTTCCCCATGTCACACAGTAACAAGTGGTACCCGGATCTGTCTTCCTTAAGCTCATGCTCTTACTGTCCATGTCCTGTCTCCTCTGTGACCCCTCAGGCAGTGCCCTTCTTGCATGAATAGCTTTTAGACATGGTATCCATTTCCTGCAAGACTGCAGTGCCTCTTCCCTGGGGCCTCGGCACAACTCCCGCAGCCCCCCTCACCAAATCCCTGATCAGAGGAGACACGCAAGAGGTGCTGGAGAAAAAAACTCACCCTGAAGTAATGGATGTTGGAGTGTTTCAGTTCCAATTTCAGCTTACTGTGTGGAGAAGTAGAGGCACGGGTCACCGCAAGCCATGACTGCTACCTCCTCGCGGTTACCCGAATGGAGTATTGAGTGCCCAAGGGCAAGGCCATTTCCCAGGGCTGGGCCCCCAGGGTTCCTCTGCAAGGTGGTTCATTTAAGGCTCTAAGGATGCGCGGTGATTGGGAGAAGCGATGTTAAAAACAAGGTCTGATGAGCATCTTCAAGAACTTAAATTATGAAGATATAAACATTGACTGGAGCAAATGGGATACAAAAAGGAATGCTCTGTTTGTCCAGTTATGTAAAACAGTATAAAAAAACACTGGAAGGACACGTGAAACTATTACTACTTGGCAGGGTTATGGGGGGTTTGGTTTCCTTTTATACTTTTGCAATTTCCAATTTTTTTCTTGCCACGAGCACGCATTATTTGCATAATTATGCAAGTAAGTTTAATACTATGGTCTGGGAACAGACAATAACAATGAAGTAGAGGCACAGCTGGCAAACAGCTGGCACCGGGCGGAGGGAAGGAAGGCAGCGTGACTCGGGGGACCTCAGTGGCTGTTGCTATAGCAGCCAAGCCTCCATTCCCCCCATTGAACCTCTTGGCTGCTGGCCAAACTCTCTTGTTCAGGGATTCGAACCACCCTGGACAGATCTCTTTGGTTTCCTCTCATGGGGCAGAATGGTTTTGCTAATTCCTTGACAACACCACCGTGCAAGGTCCTCTTACGCCCTCCTCAGTTTGCTGTCTCCACAATCCAAGCCCCTGACTGTCTCTCGGGTACTGCAACCCTCGCCCCCCCAAGCCAGGTTTCTGCATAACCTCAAATTCCAGGACCCCTGAAAGGCCCACATGTTCACCATGGGCTTCTCTTTTCAAAGATCTCTAAAGGAGATATTCATTCTAATGAGGTCAGTGCCCTTGATCAGCCAACGTGCATCTAAGCCCGAAGCCAGGAATCGGTTCTTCTGACGCACCCGCTGCCCCTGGTCCTCAGAAGGCGGCAGCACCCAGTGTGAGTGGCACGTGGGACACAGATGAAGGTTCCAGATGGAGGACCCCGCCTGGGGGAGCGCCAGCCCTCGCTGTGGGCACAGTCCCTCCTGTCCAAAGCTTGACCCCCCCCCCCAACTCCCTGGCCACCTGCTCACTGGTTGAGTAAGGGACTTGCCTAGTGACCAGGTATCTGGACAGTGGAGCAGCACAGAGTGGCTGGGGACGTCTTTAATCCCCCATCCCAAATCTGTCCTTTCGATGTGTAGTAGACTGATAGTTTTTCTCAATCTTTTATATAAAGTCCCTGCAAAGCTCCATGCCTTCCAGTTAAATTATGGTCCCTGAGTAATCCCTTTGCAGAAAGAAGTTCAGCGTCCCCGCTGATGCCTGAGAGGGGACAGTGAGCACCCACAGCTAGAAGGGACCTGAGTGTAATCGCTGCTGCCTGGCAACTTTCCTGACTCGTGGCTTCCCCGCTTCCGGTGCTATCAGTATGCCTTTCCAGAGGGGTGCCCAGATTAGGGGCAGGCCAGCCCCAGAGGAGATCTGTTTCCACGGGTCAACGCCAGTCCTATCGGTGAGCAGGCTAGACGCTGTCATCATTGCCGGGTTATCCCCATCCTGCCTCCCGCCCATCCACGGCTTCTTTTATTTTATTTTATTTTATTTTACAAATAGTTTATTGTCAAATTGGCTTCCATATAACACTCAGTGCTCATCCCCACAAGTGCCCTCCTCCATGCCCATCTCCCCCCTTCCCCCCACATCCATCAGTCCTCAATTTGTTTCTCAGCATTCAAGAGTCTCTCATGGTTTGTCTCTCTCCCTTTCCCCCATCATTTCCCCCTTTTTTCTCTCCCTTGTTCCTCTTTTAAGTTCCTCCTAATCCTCCTATATTTGCAAACATTTGATATTTGTCCTTCTCTGCCTGACTTATTTTGCTCAGCATAACACCCTCAAGGTCCATCCATGTTGCTACACATGGCCCATCCACAGCTTCTTACCTGCCTGGGGTCACTGAGCCAACGATCCTGCTGGACCTCACACCGATGGTGGCGGAGATGTCGGTTGTCTACAGAAGCAAAGGGGATGACCCAGACTCTCAGCCGATGGAGTCTCATTGGATTCCAGTCCGGGAGAGAAATGTTCAGAAATAGAAGCCGCAGCGGGATGTGGAGCACTTGGGTGAAAAGGAGCTACCCGAGGGTGGTGGGCTGGGCATGCAGGATGTTGGTGGCTCCACGGCTGATTCTAAGAAAGGTGAGCTGTGGTGTTAGAGGTCTTAATGGAAGCATCAAGAAGGGGAAATGAGCCCAAGCTGAAGACATAGAACATTCGAATAGGGAGACCATTCACCTCAGTATGACTGAGCTTTGAAGCAGGCTACTAAGCAAAGTTCAGAGAGTCTCTGAGCCCTAGGGACATTTAAAGATACAGCCAGGGGACCCTGGGGTGTGAGGATGAAGCCTGGTCTGTCGAGGGGGTTGGGGCTGAACCAGGAGACCGTCTCAGATGGTTAGCTATTCTAGATTTACATCTCTTGCTAAATTTGGGGAATTTCCAGCCATTATTTCTTTGAGTCCTTTTTCCAGCCCTTCCCACTTTCTCCCCCCGAGACTCTGAAAACATAAAAGTGAGATCTTTTGTGGGAGTTCCACGGTGCTCTGAGGCTCCTTATATTTGTCCAGCCTGTGGGTTCCGATTGGGTAATTTCTATTGTTCTATCTTTTAATTCCCTTCTTCTTTTCTCTGTTCCACTGACCCAACCCCGCAGGGCTGGTGGGGCATGTTGGTATAGCCTTAGCAAGTTATGGATTGTCTAGTTTTCTATCTTATGAGGCTGCCCCTTTTGAGGTCCTCTGGCTAGAGAGAGGAGGATGTTGTGTGGCTCTTTTTGGTTTGTGCCTGGTAGTGTTTCCACATTGCCCCAAATTGGAATGTGTAGGGCAAAAAGAAAACTCAAGGAACTCATCATCATGCTGTTCCTTGATCCTGAGGCCCCTGGCCCATCTACCTTTTTCTCTCTGCCTTTCAGAGTTTTCTTGTTTATTTTATATATAATGTGTAAGGGTTTGGTTGTACTCAGCAGGAGGCGTGGGGAAATGCACATCTATCTATCCCATCTTCCCATCTTTTGAAATTGGATTGTCATTTAATTTTTTTAATGTTTATTCATTTTTCAGAGAGAGAGAGAGAGAGAGAGAGAGAGAGAACGAGTGGGGGAGGGAAGGAGAGAGAGGGCGACACAGAACTCAAAGCAGGCTCCAGACTCTGAGCTGTCGGCACAGAGCCTGACACAGGGCTCAAACTCACCAACCGTGAGATCGTGACCTGAGCCAAAGTCAGACGCTTAACTGACTGAGACACCCATTTGTCCCTGGATTGTCATTTTTGTGACCGACTTGTAAGAGTTCTTTATATATTCCGGAAACACATTCCTTCTCATATATATGATTTGCAAATATTTTCTCTCTTTCTGTGAGTTGCCTTTTCACTTTTTTGAATTATGTCCTTTGAAGCACAGAAGTTTTTCATTTTGGTGACGTCCAGCTTATCTGTTTTTTAATTGTGTTGTTCATGCTTTCGATTTGCATCTTAGAAGGCTTTGCCTAATCCAAGGTTAGGCAAGAAGATTTAAATTTTTTTTTTCTTCTGAGAGTTTTGTAGTTTTAGTTCCCAACTTTGGGTTTTGGATCCACTTGTAGTCAATTTTTTGGGTAGCTCTAAGGAAGGGGTCTGGTTTAATTTTGTGTGTGGCTATCCAGTTGCCCCAGCTCCATTTCTTAAAAGCTTCTCCTTGGGGCACCTGGGTGGCTCAGTCAGTTAAGGGTCTAACTCTTGATTTTGGCTTATGTCGTGATCTCACAGTTCACGAGATCGAGCCCTGCATTGGGTGCAGAGCCTGCTTGGGAGTCTCTCTCCCGCTCTCTCTGTCTGTCCCCCACTAGGGCGCGTTCTCTCTCTCAAAATAAATAAACTTAAAAAAAATCTCATTCTTTCTCTACCAAATTGTCTTGGTTCCCTTGTTGAAAATCATTTGAGGGGCGCCTGGGTGGCTCAGTCGGTTAAGCGTCCGACTTCAGCTCAGGTCATGATCTCACGGTTCGTGGGTTCAAGCCCCGCATCGGGCTCTGTGCTGACTACCAGCTCAGAGCCTGGAGCCTGTTTCAGATTCTGTCTCCCTCTCTCTCTCTGACCCACTCCTGCTCACGCTGTCTCTCAGAAATAAAACAATAAAAAAAAAAATTAAAAAAAAAAAAGAAAATCATTTGACTCTATGCATGGTGATATAGTTCTGGATTCTTAATTCTGTTCCATTGACCTGTATGTCTGTCTCTGCACCAGTTCCACACTATCTTGATTACTATAGCCTTCTAGTAAGTTTTTAAATAGGGAAGTATTTGTTCTGTAACTTGTTTTTCTTTTCAAGATTGTTTTGGCCAATCTAGGTCCTTGAACTTGCATATAAATTTTAGGATCAGCTTGTCAGAAAAGCCGGCTGGGATTTTGATAGGGCTTTGTGTTGAACGTGTAAATCAGTGTGGAGAGTACTGCCATCGTAAAGAGTACTTTACATTTTATACCTTCTTTGAAAAGGTAGTTTAATGATTTTTATTTATAATAATTCTAAAAGGGTTCTGCTTTAAATTAAACACATTTTTATAGCAAATGTACTAGTGAGCAAGCTAAAATCGTCCAACTTAGTTGAAGGGAATGACTTTGAAGGGTTTTTGCAGCTGCAACAGTGTATGACGTGATTAAGTGTGCCCTTGGGAAGCCCAGCTGCTCAGATCAGAAGTGCCAGGTCTCCTCATGCCGCTGGCCGGAAGAAGTAGCCTCCAGCATCTCTGAGCAGTGCAGTGTCCCTGTCCTTCAGTGGAGAGAAGGGCTATCACCATGGCAGGTGGAGCCCTTTGCTGCTCTGGCTGCGATCAGACTTACCACCCTGAGTTGGAAGAGTGGCTTCCGCTCAGAGGAGGTGGGCAGGAGAGTGAAGGCCTGGAGGTCTATCACTGGACTGAAGGTCACATTTCCAGGGGTGAACATCAGGAACGGAGCTGATTCAGGAGACGTCTCGAGCTCCAGCTCCGCATTGGGGTACAACTTGGCCAGCTGGAGAAAGAAGGCAGAGACTCAGCGGAGAGAAGGAGCCTGAGCTGTATCAGGGAAGGGCAGGGGGGCCGATCCCCAAAGTCCAAGCCTCCAAGGGCCTTTGACCAGCAATGGAAATATCACAGGATGGAGGGCATTGTATTTTCCAGAACTCTTTCCAATAGACAGGTGTTGTGGTTGGAAAGTGTACTTGGCTAAAGTGAGACACCCCAATGGGCACGTGATGGTCACATACTGCTGTCTATGCAGGCCAGCTTGTGTTGACTACTGTGTAAGTTTGGGGCCAGAGCTGAGCTGCCTGGTTCAAGAGAGGGGGGGACTGATGGCTCTTCTCCACTCTACTTCTGCCACTTTTCAGCTACGCTCTACATAAACATCAAACAAATATTAATTAGTGGCCTGGCCCCAAATTATTAGCCTGCCCAATGTGCCCTCCCGCCTTGTGCTCCAGAAGGATCTTATATGTTGGTGCTGGTTAAGTGCTATCATCTTCCATGTGATCCTCCCAGCGACCCAGTGGGTCAGGTATTATTATTGTCCCCATTTGACAGATGAAGAAACTGAGGCCCAACAAGATGGAGTTCCGAAGACAGAAAACAGCAGACCCAGGGTTCACGCATAGGCAATCAGTCAATCGGAATCCAGATCCTGAGTCTTTATGCCACAAGGGGTCAGAGAATGATGGGGATTGTTAATAGCTTTCATCTTTACCCACTGTTCTAATAGGTAAGCTGTTTGGAGAAAGCGTATGCACAGCTCGCGGCTGTGCAAGTACAATCTCCACACTTGGTCTAGATCGAGGGGTCGTCTCGGGCTCTGTGACGAGTGTCCAGAGGTCTTACCTGAGGAATGATGGCCCGGAATGAGTTGGTGTCCAGGTGGGTCGGAGAGTCCAGGGGAATCTGCAGTAGGGGAAGCAGGAGGCTACTTGAGATGTGGGACAGGATGTGGAGTTTGAGCTCAGGCAACATGGGTTCAAATGCTGCCCTTGCCACTTTCTGGCTGACTGCTTTCTGGCAAACTTTGCTAGATCCTGCATCTGTAAAATGGGATGATAACGATAGCACCCGCCGTGCAGAACGTGCGAGGACCGAATGACAAAGTGTGTGGGCAGAGGGCTAAGTGCTGGAATCTCAGTAAATTCTTCGTAAAAGTTGGTTTTTGGTATTGATTGTTTCTCAGGATGCTCCCCTGTGGGGCCAGTGAGATCTCGTAACCAGCACAATCTGGATATGGCTTTCCCCAAGCCCTTTTCTGACCATCTCTTGTGGTCAGCCCCGATGACTTGCTCATCTTCCAGCTTGGTGAATGCTGCCTGCACCGGCACGCAGCCCACCTTCCTTGATTTCTCCTCCCTCGAGATCCCCTCTTTCCATGGGCTGCTCCTATCGCACCTTATCATAGTGCTTGGCTGTGGGGGTGCGAGGCTCAGACTTCAGGAGGGTCCCTTTCCAGAAGGGCCATTGGCTGACAGCACCCCACGGCCTCATTCAGGCCCCACACCATTCATGCTGGGGCCACACTCTCCCAGACAGCCCTCAGCCCCTGACGGAGAACAGCCAGGGTATATGTAGATCCGGAGAATTTTTGCAGATCACGGGCAGGATTAAGACAATGGGCCAAACCGGGGGCGCCTGGGTGGTTCAGCTGGTGAAGCTTCTGACTTCCGCTCGGGTAGTGATCTCACCGTCTGTGGGTCTGCGACCCTCTAGCTCTCCTACCCGGCGTGCTTGCCTTCCCCTCCTCCACGTGTCACGGCTGCATCTCCCGCTATGGGCTCCCCCTTCCTACTCCTTCCTGTCCCCTTTATCCTTCACGGGGCGCTGCCTCGAATCCATCTCTTCCAAGAGTAGTGGCGCCTTGGCATCTGCTGCCTGGAGGACCAGATCGCACACTGCAGAGTCTGGCTTGTTTTTTTAAAGCCCTCCCAACAGCAGCTACTCTGTATTGTGTGTCCCACACCAAGCTCTTCACAGATCCCCGGGGAGGAGGCAGCGTTGGGATGGCCACGCACAGACAGCAACTGAGGCACAGTCTGGATTTGAACCCAGATGGCAGGTTTCGGATTCCACGTTATTTCCCTTGCTCCCGAAACCCGCGAACCTTGGTCTACACGCCTGCCTGACGCTCTCTCCTCCCTCCCCTACTCACGTGCTGGTTTCGGATGGTGAAGTTCATGCGTCCAGCCTGATGGTAAACCCGGCTGGCTGTGTTGAAGACGTATTCAGAGGCAGCAAAGTAGACCATGTGGTCATGCTTCTCAGGTAGCCTGATGGGAGGGGCACCGAAGGGCGCTGGGGAGCGCCAGTTGCGGCCAAAGAACTCTCCCTGGAGACAGAAGGACACATCGGCCACTAAGGTTTCTACCAGAGAGGGGGCCAGGCAAAGGTGTCCAGGGACTGCCTGCGCAAGTCTCCTGTGTCCTGGGTGGTGGTCCAGGTGGTGGTGGCCCCTCTCCAGAATGTGGCCCTGGGCTCCTGCAAGTTTCCTTCCGGCCCCACACTATTTAGACCCTGACAGCTGTCCCAGATCCCCCTGTTACAGGGTTGGGTGGGGAGGTGTGTGCTGTGTTCTCCCAGGCCCAGGACGTGGCCTCGGGGCGGAAAGCATGGACTCTGGGGATGAACTGTGTCCGCTTGAATCCCGGCCTGCCACTTACTAGCTCTGGGACTTTGGGTGAGTCTCTAGCTTCCTTGTGCCTCAATCTCTTCATCCGTGGAATGGGGGATGATGCTAATGGCCTCTAGGTGGCGTATTTTAAATAAGTTAATATTCGTACAAATACTCAGCGTCTGGCACACAGTAAGAAGCATATGTGCTCGTTAAGTAAATCCAATTAGAGGAGGCTGGTACTCTATGGCCTGGCTCCCCCCCAGATCCCCCCCAGGGAGTCATGGAAGAGACTGGAATAAAGAGAGGGTATATTAGTTTCTGATTGCTGCTGTGGATGCTGGCCAGGGACGGGGACTTAGAGGCAGATGGACTAGAGAAGGAAGGGAGGAGCTGACTTTGGGAGGTAGAACCGATTTTCTGCTAGTCCTGAGCTCTAAGGTCCTTTCTCCACAGCAACTTACCCTGAAGGGTGTGTCTATGACTTGAGAAGTCACTTGGGGAGCTCCTACTAAACTGTAGTCAATGCCAGCAACCTGGTCAATCATTAAGATAACTGTAGAAAAGGAAAGAGACAGTGTTATGAATAGGGTAGTCAAACACAGTTGTGTGAGTTGTGTACTGCACAAATTCCGGGCTCTCCTTTCACATGGACTTGTGCCCTCGGAGAATGGAAACGGGGCTGGAGCTGATCCATGGTACCTTCAGTCACAAAGAGAGTGCTGTATCCATTCATTCACTCGTTCATTCAGTGTTTATTGCACATGTGCTATACACCAGGTGCAATGCAAAAGGCTGATGAAACAACTGAGATAGGCAAAATCCCTGTCCTTTGACAGTGCGGGGTGGGGAGGAAGATAGGGAAAGACAATCAAATCTTGAGCAAATAATTGTAAAAGTGCAACTCTGTTAGGTAGCATAAGTCCATAGGATGATATCAGCCATATGGTAGGGGGTAAGATAGAGAGTTGCCACTTGATTATACAGGGAGTCACAGGAGGTGTTGCTTGGGCTGTGATCTGAAGGAGGGGTGGGTGTTGACTCGGTGAAGGAGGGTGGATGTGGGGCAGGACGCTGCTGGCAGAGGGGACGACATGTGCAAAGATCTTGTAGCAGGTACAGAACATACTAGAGGCACATAGCGGGTGTTAGAGGAATTAGCCATATTAGAGGCATTCAGGGACTGTGTGGCCGGCCACCTTACCAGGCCACGCGAGGCCTTGTCACTTGAAGTGGGGCTCAGCGTCCTGAGAGTCAGAGGCGTCTTTGATGGGTTCCAAGAAGAGGGGGAGCCCTGACCCGATGTGTGATTGTAACAGGCCCCCTGTGGCAGCCAGAGGGGCAGAGCTGGGCGGATCCCCGGCCCGACACGGGGACTTGGGAGCATCCCTGTTTTGTTAAGGCGGCCAGGACAGAGCCCACACAGGACTCTTCCTGCCCATCTACTGCTTCCAGCAGGTTTCCGAGTCACTACCCTTAGTCTCTTCACTCCCCCACCTCCAGAAGAGACCCCCAAGACAGGGGGTTGCCCCATATCCAACTCCGTAGGAGGGAGAGGTACTCAGTGGGGCAAGTTCTCTTGGGGCTCCTGGGAGATGATGGCAGTCCCATCTGATGGCACCCAGAGAAGGGAGGGGGCCTCCGAACCTGGCAGCGTGCGGAGATAGGGCTCCAGGTGGGAGGTCGTTGACTTCCGGATCATTTCACAGATCTGTAGAAAGTGCGTGAGAAAGGTGAGTCTCCCTCGACCCCAGTCTCCTTGGCCCTGCCCATCCCCCACCGCCCTCCAGGAAACCTGGGTTATCTCCCCACCCTGCAGGTAGGTGTGTGGGTGGGGGGCGGGGGGCAGGAGCATGTCAAAAAGGAAAAGAGGCCACTACCTCCCTCAACACCCAACACTTGGTCACTGTCCCATTTGGGCTGGGCCACACACGTTCCTAGACTTTTCTGGAGCCCACACTGAAAGTGGTTGGTGGCCAAGTTGGCGCTGCCCTGGGGTCTGCTATTGTCATGGTCCTCAGTTCAGTGTCTTGGCAGCTAAGAGGCAAGAAGTGTAGTACATACAGGCATTTGTTAGAGCGCCGAGGTGCAAAGCAGAAGGGCTGCTAGGTGCAGGAGGCAGCCCTTGAACCGGAGAGGCTCCAGCACCTCATTCCTCAGCCACTTTGCCTCCTCTTCCTGCTGTGGCTCCTGGCTGGCTGGGAACAAGGGATCCTAAGGGGCCTGGGGCCCGGTCTGCCGGCAGTACTGAGGACGGCCACCAGAGGGCGCCAAAGCAAAGCCAGAAGGGGAGTCCTGAGCAGTCCTCAGCCGCCCACCAGCCGCTGCTCCTCCCAATGTCAAGAATTCCAGCTTGGACGATCCCAGAAGCCCCCAGTCTTCGGATTTCCCCACTTCAGCTATTCCTACAGCACCTCTATGACTTTGCTTTCTCACCTGTTCATTTACTTAATATTTACTTTACAAGTGGCCTTTTAATACGTCCATTTAATAAAAAATACAGAAACTTGATGTCACTTGTCAATGGAAATGCCTTGGCATACACACAATATAATTGGGAAAAAGGAATACGAGGGATTGCTCTGGAAGCCAGGCTGGATACTGCTGCCTTGTTGGGTAATGCCCCCTTTTGTGGTTAAAAGTGTTCAGGATACATCGGCCCCAAACCGAGGCTTCCCCTTTGATGTAAGAAGAAAGAAAGGATCGCAAAAGGGACTGCTCGCTCACACCGTCATTCTGCATGGTGCAATACGAGGCTCCACAAGCACTTAAAATCAACACTTTGCTCGGGGGAAGTTTCCCTGCTTTGGGAGCCACTGTTTTGTGCAAACGTCAAGCCAGCTTGCCTCAGGTGGGCCTGACTTGGCCTCTCCTGGAGCACCAGGAAAGGGCAGTGCCACCCAGGCAGCTGGCTCTGTTGGGGACTGACCTCATCCACCCTGAGTCCCTGGGTTCGAGATTCTGTCTCTCTTCATATCTCTGTACTCTCAGCCCCGTGGCGGCGCAGTCAGGGCTCCCAGCCTCTGAAACTGACCAGTCCTCGGGCTCAGCCTCTCTGACACCTGCCTCATTCCCCACGGGACACATGGTATCCAAATTTTTCTGGCGCATATTTCCTATATTTGCAGGGCAGAGACCCCAGCTTGCCTCTGGCCTCAGCCTGCTGCACAGGGCTACTGAGGCATCAACGCCAATGAGTATAACCTGATGTCATTTACCCTGCCCTTCCTATGTACGAGGCACTCGTCAGTGTCTGTGTGCATGATGTTATATGGTCCTCCCAACAGCTTTTCAGCGTAGACGCCATGATTGTTTCTGTTTTATAAACAAGAATCCTAAGGCTCAGAGAGGGTAAGCCAGGTAACCACAGCACCACAGTCAGAAAAGTTGCAGAGATGGGATTTGAACCCACAGGTCTGACTGAAGGACCCATGTGGTCAAGAGCAAAGATTCTGGGAGGTGAAATGCAGTTAAGTAACTCTCCCACAGTAATACCGATGAGTGGTCTGAGCCCAGCCGTGTGCCGGGGACACTAAGTGGTTATTGAGTCAAATCCTTGCCAGCCCCTTTCAAGGTAGGGTTCCTTGTGCCAAGTTTTACAAATGAGTAGAGTGAGGCTGCGGGGGCCCACGAGTGTGCCCAGAGATACACACCAGTTAAATGGAAGAGTTTCTTCCAGAGGTGAGAAGCACTGAAGGCCAACCCCACCATGATTTTCAATATGGTGCATTTGGGGTAGGGGGAGGGTGAACCGTATTTAGTAATATTTAAAAATAAGTGGTATTTTTTTTTCCAAATATTTTTTATTTATTTCTAGGAGAGAGTGAGAGAGACAGCATGAGCAGGGAAGGGTCAGAGAGAGAGGGAGTCACAGACTCTGAAACAGGCTCCAGGCTCTGAGCTGGCAGTCAGCACAGAGCCCGATGCGGGGCCCGAACCCACGAACTGCAAGATCATGACCTAAGCGAAAGTCGGACGCTTAACCGACTAAGCCACCCAGGCGCCCCTAAAAATAAGTCGTATTTAAGTCTCACCTCAAGATGAGAAAGATATCCTAGATTTTCTCCTAAAAAGTTTTGGACTTGTTTTGGCATTTAAATCCTTAGACCACCTGGAATTGATTTTTGTATGTGGTGTGAGGGAGGGATCTAACCAAAGGCACTTTTCCGTATCTCTGTCATATTATCTACAACTAGACATCAAACACCCTGCCAGCTACAAGCGCCAATTTAGTGTACGTGGTCATACAAACTTAGGAAAGCCTTGAAGTTTGCCTTTGCACCATGAATGAAGAAAGTTTTACTAAGCGCATTCAAATGACAGCATACTTAAGAGACAAGACTGTTTCCACATATCAAATATATACCTATGGTCCACGCCAACCCATCCTTGTATTAATCATGAATCTACTTATCCTTTTGTTTACCTTTTGTTCCAAGATGTTTTTGAAATAGTTTTCAAATCTTTTATGGAAGAAGTTTAGGATCCAGCTGGAAAAAAAGAGGAAAGAAGTCAGGATCCGCTTTATGATTGACTAGAATTCTAGAAAGGAGGGCTATTCATGGACCTGATCTTCCCCCATGTTCTCGCAAGAAGGGGCCCAGGCAGATGAGCAACTCTCATGGGCTCTTAGTGGGAATGTAAATTGGTGCAGCCACTATGGAAAACAGTATGGAGGAGCCTCAACAAATTAAAAATAGAACTACCCTATGATCCAGCAATTCCACTTCTGGGTATTTATCTGAAGAAAATAAAGATGCTAACTTAAAAGATATCAGCACCTCTGTATTAATTGCAGCATTGTTTATGATAGCCAAGATATAAAAACAACCTAAGTGTTCATCAGTGGATGAATGGATAAAGAAAATGTGGTACACACATGTGTGCACCTGCACACACACACACAGGAATATTAGTCAGCCATAAAAATGGATATCTTACTATTTGCAACAACATGGAGGGTCCTTGAGGATATAATGCTAAGTAAAATAAGTCAGAGAGACAGAGACAAATACCATATGATCTCACTTATATGTGGAATCTAAAAAAACCCAACAATAATCAAGCTCATAGATACGGTTGTGGGGGCAGGGGGCAAAATGGGTGAAGGAGGTCGAAAGGTCCAAACTTCCACTTATAAAATAAATAAGTCATGGGGATATGATGTGCAGCGTGGTGACTATAGATAATAATACTGTATTGCATATTTGAAAGTTGTTAAAAGTAGATCTTAAAAGTTCTCATCACAATAAAAAAAATGTGTACCTGTGTGTGGTGACAGCTGTTAACAAGACTTACTGTGGTGATCATTTCACAATATACACAAGTATCGAATCACTGATTCGTATGCCTGAAACTACTATAATGCTGTGTGTCAGTGATACCTCAATAAAAGAAAAAGAAGAGGAGTAAAATCTATTCTTTATATCCTACAAAATCCACCGAACAGCTTACCTGGCGGGTTAGCAAGTAGTCACTCACTCATTCATTCAACGAACATTTACTGAGCCCCTCCGATGGGCTCAGCACTGAGTTAGGTGTCGAGGGGACACTGGTGAATAACCTCATGGAGCCCATGACGCGAGTCTAATCCCCTTCAGGTAAAGCTGCCCTCAGAGAGCCCCTCCGCACCTCAGACAGCACTTGGTGAGTGAGAGTTTGCCCCAGAACAGACATCCCACACTATGTTCTCACCTGGGGGTGAGGGTGAGAGATTGTGCGAAATAAGGGAACAGAGTTAGTGGAATTATGTCTGGTAACATTTTTTTTCTCCCATAGATTTTTCTGTGCCATTCAATACTTGCTGATTGAATGATGTGTATTATAAATCTATGTGTATTATAAATTCATGCAGTAAAGTCAGACACAAGTGTTTCCTGGGGTTCTGCAGTGAGCACCTTGAACTTCCCAGGATTCTGTCCCCTGAGCAAGCCTGGGTGGGCCCTGGGTGAATCTGAATGACGCTGGCTGCAGAGGGCATGGCTGGAGTTCCTGACAGCTGTGGGTGGTGTGTTGCTTCCAGAAAAGCCCCCTCCCCCCTCCCCAGTCCAGTCACCTAAATCTGCCACATGCCCTTTCCCCCACATCCACTGCCTTCACCTGCCTGGGACGTTATCGTCTCTCACCTGGACAACTGCCTCTCTCCTCTCCGGTCTCCCTCCACTCACTCTGTCCTGCCTAATCTCTTAGGAAGTGATCTTTTAAAAAAGCCAATCTGATTATATCACTTCCTTTCTTAAAATCCTCCAATGGCTCCCCACTGCCTTACGTTGGGATAAAGACTAGAGTTTGGCTCCTGCCTATTTCGTTCACTTCTTCTAATTAATCACCTCCCCTTCCTGGCAAGTACAGACTTTTCATGCCTCAGGATCTTTGCATGTGTTTCTTCCTCTACCAGAGAAGATCCCCTCTCCTCCTCTTTTGCGAAAAATCAAGGCTCATTTCAGATATCCTTCCCATGAAGAAACAGTCTCTGCTCAAATGCTAGGCAAATCGTCTATTTTCATAGCATCTGGACTCTCTCCTTATAAGCAGGTTATCACAACTATGTGAAAAGTAATTGAGTAGATATTAGTATACTTTATGTCTCCTCCCCCCCACTGTGTATCATCTTGTATTCCCAGCACTTAGCTCAGGATCTGACAAATAATAGGGGATCAATACATATTTGTTCAGTGAATGACTGAGTAGTTGCCAACTCCCCATCTGGGTCAAGACCATGGGTATTCACGCTTCTGTGTCCATTTCAGTAGCAGCCAACCTTGCAGCTATCATCACTGTAACAAGCTAGCTAAAATGTTTCTCTGGCCACCACTGCGCTGTCTCCATTGTGTGTGTGTGTGTGTGTGTGTGTGTGTGTGAACTACACAGAATTTCATGGCTTTGCTCCTGAGAAATGGGGTATTATGCCCACCCAGTTAACATAATACAGTGGTGGGGCACCTGAGTGGCTCAGTTGGGTAAGCGTCCGACCAGCTCAGGTCATGATCTCCCAGTTTGTGTGTTCGAGTCCTGCTTCGGGCTCTGTGCTGACAGCTAGCTCAGAGCCTGGAGCCTGCTTTGGATTCTGTCTTCCCCTCTCTCTGCCCCTCCCCTGCTCATGATCTCTCTCTCTCTCTCAAAAATAAACATTAAAAAAATTAAAAAAAAAAATAAAACAGTACAGTGGTTTGAAGCCATCCAGGCTCAACTAAAAGTTTCCCTTTCCAAATGGCAGCTTTAAGTTCAAAGGCCCTCACATCTGTGCAGAAAACAGTTATCAGTTGAGTAAATACACCGCCAGCAGTCTCTGGGCTTCCTGAAATATAAATGCCCCTGAAACTGAGAGGATTGAAGGATCCCGTGTTTCTGTTGACATTTTCCCCCCAACACGGTCATCCAGCAAATTCATGTCTAGCAGAGAGGTAATGGGCTATCTGTTCTGTCTGCCCCTACCCCTTGCCAGTTCCCTTCTGCCTTTCTCTGTGTCCTGGGGGGGTGGTATCTGCAGATTCGTCTCTCAGGCTCTCCTGATGGGGGGGCACGGGCAGGAATGAGACAGGAGTTGGGGTATTTACACCCAGCTGGGCCACTACACACCTGCCCCATGGCCCCTTCTCCAAGGCTCCAGCTCTTTCTAGGCTCTGCTTCACACCCTTCCTCCCCTTTCAGCTTCACCCCTAGGGGTGGTAATCTCTCCCCACTGTCATCAGTCTCCAGGAGTCCCTTGTTGAACACCCTTCACCTGCCCACACTCCAGTTAAGATTCTCTTCATCAGATTCTCGTCAGCCAGGCCTTTGAGTTGCCTCTGTGTCCTGTCAGGACCTGAGTGATACAGCACCCACCAAAACAGAGTCAGAGGGCAGTCATCGGGGACTGGCATTATTCATTCGATATTCACGGAGCATCTCCTCCGGGCAAGCCACTTGGGAAAGCTGGGTTGCCATTAAAGACCTACTCGCCCCGCTGTCAGCAGACTCCTTCTTAAAGGGCCAGATGGTGAACGTTTTTGACCTTGCAGGCCAAGTGGTCTCTGTTGCAACTACTCAGCTCCGTTGTAGTGCTCAAGCAGTTGTAGGCGACACATGAGTAAGTGAGTGCGGCTGTGCGCCGACTTTATTTACAAAAACGTGAGGCAGACTGGATCGGAGGGTGGCCCTGGCTCACTGACCCCCAACCTTGATGAGCCTGAAATTTTTCTCTTAAGCCCCGCTTGGAGCATCCCTGGATGGGCTGGATATCAGGCATTTCTGGGAATCTGCAGAGAGCACATGGAGTCTCTTACCTTAGGTGTCCAGAAATGTCGATGCTGACGTGGCCAATGGAGTTGCTGCAGTGGGCCACAGACACGGTGGGCCGCCCAGACTGGTCCTTACCCAAGTTCAGAGAAACCGAGATGGAAATGCCATCCACACTCACAGTAAAAGTGCCCTCCAGGGTGCTGGTTGGGAGAAATGAGAAGCAAATGGTGTGTGATGGGTCACCTCCAGGAAGAGGAGCCAAAAGAACACAGTCCCCAGTTCCCTACTAATTAGCTGTGTATCCTAACTGAGCCTCTACTTTGTCATCAGCTAAAATAGTCAGCGATTTATTGGACATCTGTGTGCCAAGCAGGCACATCATTAAATGCATTTACCTCTGCTATTTTATTTAATCCCCAACTGCATCTATGAGGTGTGTTAACATTAACCCCCTTTTACAGATAATAAAATAGAGGCTTAGGGACAGTCAGATCTGGATCCTTCATGGAATGGTTGTTTAAGAACCCAGAAATGGAAGCCCAGACTGGGAGGACCTGCCCTTGCCCAAAGCTGATAGACATTGTAACCCAAATACCACTCACATGAAAGCCTTTTTCACCTTCCATTTTCCGCCGGCAGACACGTAGGTATTAGACAAGGAAGCTGTGACCCCCTGCCTTGGGAGTAGCCTCAGATCTGAGTTCCTGAGCTCAAAGCGATGGATCTCCAGTCTGGAGAAGGAAGGCAGACTATCAAACCCAGAAAAGCTGGGTGCATATTAGTCTTCCGAACAAGGCTCTCAGCTCTAGGGTTGTTAGTGACCTGCTGTTTTATGAATTTCTGGGATGCTTCACTATTCCCTACTTGGCTTTTCTAACACCTTGGAAGAAAATTCCCTAGATTAGATTCCCTCCGTTGAAGTTCCTCGTGTGGATTCTGCTTTCTTGGCTGGTCTGTGATGTATGTAGTCACCCTACCTGGTACACTTGTCAACATTACCCCCTCCCTGTGGCCATTTGAGTTTGTGGCTCTTGTCAGATCCACACTCACTAGTTCACTCAACAAATGTCCATTGAGACCCTGTTCTCTGAGACCTGGCTCTAGGCACAGAGGACACAGAGTTCACAGCTCAGTCCCTACCCTTGAAGAGCTCCCAGTTGGCAGATCTGGTGTCTTAACAAACTACAGTGGTCCACTGTGAACACCAGATGCAGGGGATGCTGTAGGGCTGTGGGAAGGCCTATTGGCCTTTAAGTGGCATGGCCTGGTTTGTGTGTGTGTGTGTGTTTGCACATGTACAGATTTCAAGTAGCTCCTTTTTTCTCCTTGCCTTCAGGAAATTGTCTTGAGAGATTTTGGAGGCAGCCTTTTCTATCAGGGATGAATACATGATCCCCAAGACCCTATTTTAGACACTTAGGGGACTGGGGAAGAAAAACCCATGCAACCAAGGAATGGATAAAGAAAGAGTAAGGTGTGAAGACTCTAAGATGGAATGTGTAAAAGCTACAGAGAGATTAAGGTCAGTTAAGGCTTATGGTAGGGGAGATGAGGAGCCCAAGTTTGTTCATCAAGGACCAGGAGGCCACCTGCTTTATTTTTCACTAGGGTTATGTGTGGATGCTATCCTTAAGAAGTAGTATGCAAATAAAATGTGAATAGGTTCCAGAAAAATCTGAAGTCCTTCATTATGGACCCCTCAAAAGCTCTGGAGGGGTGGATAGCATATCTCCAGCAGATTCCTCATCTGGGCAATCAGGAGAGTAGTTGGCAGTCTCTGGCAGAGCAAAAGTCTAGGGCTAGTTTCTGTAGGACTGACCTCGGGACTCATTAGTGGTTTCTAAGGCTCTCCCTCCCATCCTGATGATTTAAGAAACATAGAACCTTCCAGAAACCCCACAAGAGCTGGCCATATTCCTTTTGCCTTTAACCCAAGTGATGATTCCTTGTTTATTTCCCCCCACCCATGAACCTAGGCCCCCATTCTTCTTCCTCCACTGCCCCTTGCAGTGGAGAATGGGGATCTCACCTGTAAAACTTATAGCTCACACTTGTAATCCAACTGACTTTGGTGCTTCCTGAGAAATCAGGCAAGTGGATCGTAGACAGCTCCTTTTTCAGGGTAGCTATTCCATAGCGGCGGGCTGAGGGGAAATAGGGGGAGTCAGCTTATTCCCTGGGAGGCGCCCAAGCTTAGCAGTCAGTGGCTAGGCTTTGAAATCACACGGCCTGGGACTGAATGGAGGACTTGCCACTTACTATTGGTGTGCTCCCAAGCAGTCCCTTAAATTCCTTGAGTCTCACTTCCCCCCATCCGTATAATGGTCATAATAATGATACCAATCTAAGCCTAAGAATTAAACTAGATCCTGAATTCCAAGTGCCAGGTAAGTGGCAGTTGTTATTTATTCATTCAACAAGGTTGTGGAAGCAATGATACAATGCCATGGGAGCGTTTGAGGAATCCGTTACTGCGGTGTAGACAAACCTTAGCGTTTTCCACTATTGCCGAGACCCTTTGTTAACAATGCAGATTCCCAGACCTAGCTTCAGTCAGTGGTAGATGGATCTTTGGAATCTGTATTTTAACATGTGTCCTAGCAATTCCAGGGCAGTCCACTGACCCCCTGGGGAAAATGCTGGTCCAGCTGGATCCTTAGCCTCTGATATTCATGATGAGGAAACTGAAGCCCATAGAGTGACATATCCAGGTTCTCTAAGCCAGGCAGGAGCACAGCCCCAGCCTGACATCCCTTGTTCTGGTTGCTACGCCATGCTGGTGGGCAACAATGGCACCAGAGGAATGGCCACCCCCCTTACCATACTCCAGGCCTTTTCTGGTGATTCTGGCCACGAACCCGGGATGAGATGCCCCTTCTTCAAACCCAGAGACCTCTGCCAGCAGCAGTAGGGCCACTGCCACCCAGTATGGTCTGGCCATCATCCTGTCTTCAGCAGCGTCCTGGGCAGAGGTGGGTCAGACTCTCTGACAGCAGAACTGAGGTGCTTATAAAGCTAGGGGCCAGATGAGGAACTGAGCCAGCTAGAAGAGAAGGCGGGAAAGGTTCAAGGCTTTGGGGCAGCCCAAGTTTTAGCAACTTGAGATGGGGAGAAAGTCGCTTATACAATTGTTTGAGGCTTATTTCTGGCCCGAGGGAAGCGGAAGTGGGGCCGCAACCTCCAACTTCTTCCTCTTCGAAGCTCACCTGCCCAGTGTTGCCAGAGGAGGCTCCTGCCACACCTCTCATGATGAACACCTCCATTCATTCTCCATTATCTACAGACTGAAATGTAAACACCGCGTGTGGCTGCGAAGGCGTCGCAGCTTGGCTCGGGCTCACCTTCCACTGCCTTAGCCAGGTAGGCCTGCACTCTGGCTGCACGGGAACCTGGTGATGCAAGACCATCTCAAGTCAGGCCACACATCCAACCAGTGGATTCTGCAACTCTTGGCTCCAGACAGTTGTAGATTTTCTCTTCTTGTTGTTTTTTTAAAATTTAAAGTATATTTATTTATTTGGAGAAAGAGAGAGAACACAAGCATGGGAGAGTAGGAGAGAGAGAGCGAGAGAGGGAACCCCAAGCAGGCTCCATGGTGTCAGTGCACAGCCAGTAATGGGGCTTGAACCTATGAACCGTGAGATCATGACCTAAGCTGAAATCAAGAGTCAGATGCTTAAGCAGCTGAGCCACCCAGGTGCCCTTTGCCTGCGTGGTTTTTAAATCAACTTTATTAAGATATAATTTATATGCAGTAAAACACAGACATTTTAAGTGTACAGTTCAATGAGTTTTGACGCAGGTAAATACCTGTGTGATCACATCATAATCAAGATAAAAACATTTGCATCGCCCCAAGAATTTCCCTCGTGTTTCTTATCTCTTTTCCCAGAAAACCAGTGACCTGCTTTTCTGTTACCGTCAGTTCATTTTGTCTGTTCTAGAGGTTCGTGTGAGTGGAATCGTACTGTAGGCATATTGACTGCGTTCACTGGCTTCTTCCATGCAGCGTTCTGTTTTTGAGATTAATCTGTGTTATTTTATGTGTCAATAATTCACTTCTTTTTATTGTAGAGCACAGCCGCATGATCAATCCTTTTATTGTGCTATATCGTATTTTTAATTTTCTTCAAATAAGAAATACATTCACACGGCTCAACAGTCAGTCAGTAAAATAAGATGTACAGTGAGCAGCTTGGCTCTCAACCCTCTTTTGCATCTTCCTGGCTCCTATCTCCTTCCAGTCACATCGACATAGAATCCCACTGTGGTAAAGTGTCAGGGGACACCGAAGTGCTTTGGCAGCTTCTATCCTAGGGTCCGTGGGAGCCCAGAGAGGGAGCAATCAAGACAGGAGACGTGCTTGGTTTGGGTTTGGAAGTCGTGCTTGCAGGAGCTTGGCAGACAGCCAGAGAGGGGAAGGGTAACCTGGACAGAGGGAACGACACCAGCCAGAGTACGGAAGCCTGAGGCAGCCCTGTGCATTCCAGAAAGCACAAGGAATTGTGGGAAAGCAAAGGGTGCGGGGGTGGAGGTGGAAGAGAGGGTGAGGGAGGATGAGGCACAAACATGGGCAGAATCTCCTCTGGAAGGGCTGTGTTCAGGTATGAACACGGAAGAGTTTTCATTTTCCTGTAGTTGACAAGCCCTTTGTTGTGTTAATTTCCCCTTTTGCCCCGCATGGGGGCTCCTTTCGTGACATCTCAGTCCTGATTCAAAGCTTTCCGTCACCGTTGGTTCAAGACTTGGTCCATCCAGGTAAACCTGTATCTCATATTCTACTACTTGATGTTTTCCCTCTTCCCCGTGCAGACTTCCGGAGGCTCTCGTGGCTTGGAGCGAGCAAGCGTGTATGTGCGTGTGCATTTGCATGCATGTCCGTACACGTGTGTTTGTACACGAGCATGTGTGTGCGTGTGTGCATGCATGGGTACGCTTGCATGCGTGTGCGTGTGGGGGTGGTTTTCTCTTTCCTGCACCCCTCCCTCTTCCCTGCTCTGACCTGTCAGGAAGGAGGGAGATGCTGCCTGGGGTAATTGGACTTCCTCTCTGTTTATCTCGGTGGCAGTGAGGTGACCCTCCCTGAGCCTCATCAGCACCGACCCAGCCTGATATCTGTCAGCTCTAGGTGGGTAAACAGAGGCCCCCACGGGCCCTGTTAGTGAGAGACTCAGTTCCAAGCAGCTGCTCCAGGCAAGAATCAACCGTTGGGAGAACTGTCCTCTGTTTGTGGCCCCTGATCTCATGTCCTCAACCCGAGGTCTGTGACCAGAGCTGGGACATCAGGGAGGGAGTCTTGCCTCTTCTTCGTCTGCTTGTTACCTAACCGACATTCCAGGATTGGTTCTCTCCGGGGCCTTATTGTCTTGGCTTTGTTTAGAGGCACAGTCAATAGTCTTCTCCTCTCTCCTGTCAGATGGGATGGAGAAGGGATAGTGGGGGGGGGGGGGGCTTTGTTTACAACCTCTCAGAAACAGTTTAACCAGGAGCCTGGCCAGGTGGGGTTTGGGTTCTGCCCAGAGGCCCAGCAGCAGCGGGAGGATGGAGAAGATCTCGGTGAAGGGTGCCCACGCGGTTGGACTCGGGATTGATCTGGGAGACAGATGGTACTGCCCGTGGTAGTTGGCTAGGGCTCCCGTGACCGCGTGAACAGCCGAGAGGATTAAACAGTTTATTTTCCCACAGTTCCGGGGCCGCGATGTCTGAGGTTGGGGTATCGTGGCGCGGGGTCCTTCCCAGGGCTGCGAAAGAGACTCCGCTCCAGTCCCCTCCCCTTGCTCCCTGTGGCTCTCTGCCAATCTTCGGCATTCTGTGGCTTGTAACGTGTCACCCCGAATTCGGCCCTCAGCGCTGCATGGCATTCTCCCTGTGCGCGTCTGTCTCCAAATTTCTCTTTCATAAGGACCTCAGTCATACTGGATGAGATGCCCACCCTGCTGACCCATCTTAACCTATTCCCTCTGCAATGGCCCTGTTTCCAAACAACATCACATTTGGCGGCCCTGGGGGCTAGGATTTCAGCACATGAGTTTGGCAGGGGGCGCAATCCAACTCATAACAGTGTCCCATCGCCTGTACGGAGCGTGGATAGCAGTTAAAGTCTTGGCAACGCTGAGATCTGAGTCAAGGTCCCGCACGACTATTCCTCCATAAGCCTGCATCCCATCCCCCAAATGGGCCTGATGCTACCAACCTGGTAGGAGTTTTGTGGGGATTAAATAGGAGAACATTTGGGAATGGCCTGAGTGTCTGGTACCCTAGGCAGTGAGGTCATCTGCACTGGGGACCGTCCCCTGAGCTGACCTCCTGAGACATCTCATCTTGCCAGAGATGTGAAACCAGCAGCAGAGAAAAACGCCTAATTGTGGCTTTCGCTTCTCCTTTGGCTGCAACTCAAGGTCCTAGCAGGGAGATTGGAAGTTCATGTGTCAGAGCTCCAGGGTGGAAGCCCTGCAAAAGCTCTGTGCTGAAAACATGGTTTCAAGACATTTTTATAGGCACTGCCCTCTTCATCGGACCCCCAGGGCCTCCTGAACCTGTATTACTTAGTCTTCCCTCCCTCGTCCTGGGATTGGTCTCCTCACAGTCTGCCACCCAAAAGCTCCTTCTTCCAAGGACAGGGTGTGTACACCTACCTGTGAACACCCATGGGTGGCCTAGCCCTGGCGTTTTTCTTCTCTCTCAGTGGGACCACTTGACCTCTCTCTCATGTCCATCTCAGGCCTGCATAGACCTTGACCTACAGGAGGGGCATTGTGCCTGTCATTGGTCCTTTATCTGGGCTCAATTCCATCCCTTAGCTTCTTCCAGGATGGGGCTGAAGCCCTAGCTTCCCTGATTGCAAGATACCCGTACAGGCAATATTGATACATGATAAAAAACAGAACAAATGATATAAAAGGGTGACAATAACTCTTCCTTCTACCTGTCCCCAGTCTTCCAGCTTTCTGCCCCAGGGGCAGTGTGTTTCTCATTCTGGCAGACGTGCCTGGTGACTGCAGAATAACACATCATAACCCAAATTCTCTCCGTCTTTCTGCACCGAATAGAGGAGATGGTTCCACAATAGCACAGGCAGATCTGGTTCATCTGTTTTAATGACAGCAGAGTATCCATTACAAATTCACAGTTTGTTTGACCTGCCTCCTCTTGATGGACATCTGGATTAGCTCTGTCCTTGCCGGGGCAAACTTTCCCGCAAATGACATCATTGTGTAAATGTATCCGTTCATATGTCTGTGGGAATTCTTCTTGGAAGCACACACACTGGCCGGTGGGATATTTGCATTAATAAGTTTTGCCAAATTGGTGGTCCATTTCCTTCTAACGAGTTGACCTTGTTCACATCAGTTTGTTTCCTGTAGGGAGAGGTTGGGGGCTTTGCCTCTGAAACGTGGGCCAGGAGCCGGAACCCACAGCTCATTTGTGGCCTATCTCAGAACTACTTCCTGTCCACATGGACCACCTTTTTAAAAATTTTCTTAATCACTTTTTTCCCTTCTAAAAAAATTTGGTTCTATACTGTCAAAACCACATGCTAAAATACATATATTGTGTGTAAAGATAGTCTTCCTTAATTTATTAACAACTGTATATCTTCCTTCCAACACACTATTGGACCCATAGTAGGCACTCAATAAATATTTGCTGCATGAATGAATGAATAGAGACTGATAAACTTAAGACCTTGACTTTTCATCTCTCACACTCATGTGGGTAAGATGAAGAAACGTTACGTAGGAACACCGATTGGTTGCCTAAACCTGGGTTTTTATCATGTCCACTCCTCCTCCATGTGATTCTAGTAAATTCCAGCTTGTCTAAGGCGGTCAATATGGTTCCTTTGCCAGTGATTAGTTTAGAAAAGGCATGTGACCCAATTCTGGCCACCAATAGGTGTAGAAGTCCCCTCATGAAGTTCTCCTAACTGACAATACATAAGCT